TTTTCATTTAAAAAAAATCTGTACAAAGTTACACATAAGATTGTCATTTTACAGAGCCAGTGACAAAACTTTTCAAATGCCCCACGTATATCAATTGGGACTTGTTATTGATCATTGAGCTCAAGAAAAGGGGGATGGTTGGATTTAATAGAATAACAAGATTCGAATGGTAGTGGTAATGATGACACTTAAAATCTACTTAATTAGAATGGTCATTGGATCTTTCAATTTTTCAATTGTTCTTGTTCTGATTTCGTAATCAAATAATACATTTTTTCCAAACATGTGTCTAACAAAGTACTAATAACACAATATAGTTTCAACAAAATATCCTATACAAATAATTAATTGACGATCGGCGGGGGGAAAATTGACACAAAAATGACCAATCTGATAACTTTGCGCAAAAAGCTGTATTATACTTTTGTTCCACTACATATTTTTTTTTACAATATATTGTAAAAAATCTCAAATATTATTGATATATTATTTTTTTTGTTCATTGTATTTAAAGGAATATACAATTTTTTTTTCTTATTTAATAAACATATTTTCTTATTGTGGAATTAAACACCAATCAATATACTAACACATTTAAAGTTAAAATATGGACCATTATGACATTAAATAGTGAAAAAAAAACATGAGGAATTATCCTATATACTCTAAAATTTTAAAAGTATAAAAGTCACTTTCTGTCCTACCTTTTAAAAACATAGCTCTATTAGTTGATAGAATATGTCTTTAGTTTTAATGTTGTAGAGTTCTATTCTTTTTTACTTTACTATGCTCGCGTCTACTATGATCATTTCTAAATTTAGGAAAATATTACCAAATTTAGACTAGCTCTTGACTATCGTATCTAAATTTGGCAGTAAGAAAACTAAAATCACGTGAAATCCTATTTTTTGAACAAATTACAAAATTGCTATTTTGAAATTTGGCCGCATGGCGCAGCAATAGGAGGTCTTTAGAAAAAAATAATTTTAATCCACATGATCCTCTAGAGGTTTTTTCAGTATCACCACAAGAAAAAAATATTTATATACAAAAATTCGTCAACATGTTGATGAACCATATAAGGATATTTATTGTTCAAATCCGAATCCAAATCTATAAAAATAATAACCATATGAAACTTTTGTATATTTTTTAATTTTTAAAATTTTTTTTTATACCGATCTCTCGGGTTTTTACTATGAATTAATAATGTTAATTTATTTTATATTAATATAAATATTAAAAAATGAATAATAACAATAATAATAATAATAATAATAATAATTTTTACATCTATATATCTAATTAATTATGAGGAAAAGGAGGGGATACGCATATATTTTAATATTTATATGTATTGTTCGCCCGCTTCTAAACAAGTAACTAAACCAGCGACGATTTTAGCTATACTATCACCTAAAAGTCCTTTATTGACGACAACTTTACCACCCAATTGTTTAAATTCAGCTTTCATTGCTGAATCAATCAACAATGGTATAGTCAGTGTTATGCGTGCCAATTGCATAGTTATTTTTATACGACCAAAAATATCAAAATATGATAAGGACCGAAGTCGTTGTTGAAGTTCATATATATTAATCAGTTCAAATTGTACAGTTTTAATATATTTTTTACCAGCTATGTAATATGTAAATATATCAGAGGAGGATGATGTTATTAATCAATATAAAAATAAAATGATGATGATGGTGATGACAAGAGAATTATTTTTAAAAACCAAACATTTTACCTAAAAATGTTTCTCTCATTCCTCTGAACACAGTTTCAATTGTTTCGATTGTATCTTCGCCCAAATTTAATTCAGGATTGCCTTCATTTAACGCATCTATAATTAATTATATGATATAAGAAGAAGATTTAAAAAAAAATTTTTAAATAAATTGAACAAACTTGTTACTTACTAACTAAAGAACGAATCATTTCAAAGTCACCATCCATAAATTCCAAAAACAACTAATTTCATCCAAAGACAAAAAAAAAAAATAGTAATTATTATTATAAATATTAACTTTTTTTTTTATTAGTTTCTCCAAAAAAAAAAAAATACTTTCTTGATATAAAACACCATGTAATGTGTCGTCGCCTGTTCCATTAACGCTACCTAAATTACTCGTGCCTGATATATCATAAGCACGTCTTGAAGATGACTTATTCAATGTTTCGTAGGCATATGAAAGTTCTAATTTAGAGATAATGATAAATAAATAATAGTTTATAAAAATTTCAAACTTCAAAAGTTCCTACATTTATTCACAACTTACTTTGAAATGATTCTGTTGCTTTTGGACATCCCGGAAATTTATCAGGATGACAAATTCTTGATCTCTGAGAAAGAAAAGAAATTAAACATCAACCAAATAATTAATTATAATTAATTATAATAATGATAACAACGTTAATGTAAGCTCTTCTTAATTCTTCCGATGAACATGATTTTTCAACACCAAGGATTAAATATAAATTTGTTTCTGAACAAATTTCATCAACAATTTTATATTTTTGTTTGGCACCAGGGACTTCGTTGGTTGACATTTTATTATTTTCCTTTATTTTTTTTTCTTTGTTATTAAATATTATAATTGCTATGAATAATTTGAATAATTTGAAAAAAGAAGAACTTTTTGGGAAAATGTGGATTAATTACTAATTGTTCTAGAATTGATTTAAAATTTATTAATTTAGAAGTTATTTGTATGAAAGCTGCTGAAAGGATGCGCAAACACAAGATAATGATGTGATAATGATGCACGAAACTATAACAGTCAAGTCTATCATTCGTGAGTTTTCTTCCGAAACGCCAAAACGTATTTATTTACTCATCAAAGACCTTGCAATAAAAACCACTAGTATAATCACGTGAATTATAATACTACTTTTATTGGTTAGTTAAATTAGAATTGGGACAGGCTGTAACAAACAAAACCAGAAAAGTGAACAAGGGTTTAAAAGTGATGGGCACCTGTTTATTTTGTAGTCAGGGAACACACCAAATTTGGAATTTCTAAAAATTCGTGTGTAATTCTACATATAAAAATATTCTAAAAATGATTGGCAGATCTTTTCATAAGAAAAACCTGGGAAAATTATGTATTATTTATTATTATGTGTATTCTTAACTGCTTTACAAGCCTACCAAAATTCAATCAATAATTGCAAATTATAATAAATTTTATTACTATAATTTTTAAAAATATAATCTAATAAATATGCATTAATTCATATACATGTCATGCAATAACATTAGTATATGCAGGTTGAAATCATAATAGTAATAGAACAATGAATTACATATATCCAAGTTTATAAACATTTGTTACCGACAATTCGTTTGTGATGTCTTGTACAAATGGAATAATTAGATAAAAATGATTCTTTCTGACTTTATTTCCAGTTGCATTTTTGATATGTTTCTCCACATGGTTTCAACTAGCCTTTGAACTTTTTGAATAGTGAGGCAAATAAGTACCAGTACATTTTTCCCGAAAGTTCCCAACGAAAGTTCAAATTACGGTGACCTTAATTACGAAAAATTGAATGAAATATCTTAAAGAATTTTTCTCTGACGGATGTGACTTCGTATAATTCATGTAAGGAATACAATCAATACAAAAATTCCGATTTAAAATGATTAATGTCTAATTCTTCGATTTAATTAGAACAGAAACCAAGTAGTAATTTCGATGAAGAAAACAATAAACGAGTAATCACTGTTACTGTTTGGAGAATTGGCATTTTCGTTTTTATACATTAATTAGAACTTGTCCTTTTTAGAAGCCACAAGTACATGAAAAATGACAACCACATTTGAATTCTTTGTCCAATCATTCAAAATAATTAAACAGAGAAAAATAAATAAATCAACAAGCCAGACAAATTAATTACTAAAAATATTGCATGATCGATATGCAATAGATTCCATCCAATGATATCCGCAGGGAAAGTGAAGAAATAATTAATCGCATTGACTTGCACCATTCTAATAATATATATCAATTACGTATTCATTGATATTAGCAAAACGGCTAAGATGCATGCGATTTAATTAAGAAATAGAGGCCTCAACAGAACTTAAAGGCTCTGTGATGCAAACAGAACGAACCAATTCTATAAATCTCGGTCCATTTAACTGAAAATTTTCAAGTTACTTTATTTCATATCTATTTATATTGTCAAACGTGTCATAAATAAATCACTTGTAAGTTAATTACTGTTATTATTATTATTATTATTACGATTACCACCATTACCGCTAATACTACTATCGTAATTATGATCAAGTTCACCAAATTTTTCTTTTAACAATTCCACTTCGCGATTCAAAATTCTTTCTTGACTATCAGCTCTGTTAGCAATTTGATCCACCAAAATTTTATTGTCAGGTGTCAAAGCGCTATAATCCAATAATTGAGCTATTTGATTCATTTGATTCAACACTGTTCCTAGTTGATTTGGTAACCACGTGACGATTGGAGAACCACTAATAACGTTATATATTAATAGAAAACGGCGAATTATTAGATAATATTAATTAGGTGGTGGGGGGGGGGGGTATGTGAAGGGAAAGTATACTAACCCAGTGGCGACAGGATGTTTTGTATTTTTAATGATGTATTCCTTTGTAAAGTTCCAATGACGATGACGAAATTCTCGTACTTGATCCATATTTGCTAGATAAAGTGCTTTAAAATATGTGCGCAAATGTATGTGTTAACGTTATTAACATTATCATATACATCGTCAAAAATAATTATTATTGTTACGTTTTAATACCTGAACTATTTGCATCCTACTTCCGAAAACCGCGTAAAAAAAAAATTAAAAATAAAATAATGTTAAAATTTTTTCAAAATAAAAATTAAATGAATGAACAAATGATTACCATTACAGCAAATCCTCTAACATCAACTTGCTCGGCTTTGAGATGAACATAATCAAGAAATTCTTTATGATTGGTAGGACGATACTTTCTAAAATCTTTTAGAACACTTGTTAATGGATTATCAGGCATTTTTGACGTTAATTGTAATAAGTTGTCCATGCATGGAATCATTGAATCATTTGCACCCGATTCTCCTATGAAAAAGCATTTTTTAAAATATACGGTATATATAATATATAATATAATAAGAAATACAATCTACCTCGATAATATAAAGGCTTATCACTAACACCCTCGTAAATTACACCATTTGGGAACATTGGTTGATTTTTGGAACCCATGATAAAAGTTCTAAATTTCAAATAGTCTGCAGGATCAGATCTTGACCACATTGTTTCCATTTCTTTGTTAATCAAGGTCATTGTCTCGTAAAGATTTTTTAATGAATTATTAAATTTATTTCGATTCTGAAAAAATTTTAATTGTATATATATATCTTTATTATCAATCTATTTTTATTATTATTTCCATAAATTAAAATAAAAAAATTTACTTGATATTCGACTGAACTCAAAGTTTCAATTGTCGACCTGACCAATTGGCCAGAGTTAGCAACCATGGCAACATGAACCAGAATAAATCCGTGTTCTGAAGATGTTCCAGCAAATTCACGAATAAGTTTTAGGTTTGGATAAATTATCGGTTTTGATGGATCGATTCTTTGGTAATTATACAAACTAGTATTATTGGGAAGAGTTAGTCGGTTGATTAATACGTATATTTATATGATATTATATCTCGCACGCAATAAAATACAATAATTTATATATGTTACCTGTAGGAAAGAGCGTATTCCATGAACGGGTGTGCATTTAATTTATTGGCAATGATGGATAATGGTATCGCAATATTTTTTGGCAAAATCGCTCTACCTAACCCATAATCTTTTTTCTCTCTAAACATTATATCGCATGGTTCAAGTAAATAAGCAGAAGCCAAGAATGTGTAATCCCTAAACAATGCTAGGAATATTTTATGGTTTTGTTTTTAAGAAAAGGAATTAAATTTTCAAATTTACAAAAAAAAAAAATCCCCCCTCCATTTTTTATTTTTTTTTTCGATTGATTACCGGAAAGAAATCTTTGATCGTTGATATCATTAACGTCGTATAATGGCAAATCATTTAATACAACGTTTCCCAATTCACCTTTAGCCAATAATCCTTTCTTTTCACCATTTTTTGATAAATTGATGGGCATGTTTTTCAAAATATAATCAAGAGCGTAAAATTTATCAGGTAAGTTGACCAATGGATCTTGTCTTGGTAAAAACCCATTTTTAAATCCAACCATAAAACTTGGTAAATTATTATTGTTGGTGTTTGTAGTATTGGTGGTGGTGGAAGTGGGTTCATCATCTTGCAAAATATAAAAATTATGAGGATTTACGTTATATTTTGGTAAAGTTGCTCGAATAAATAATTTTCTTCTAATATTTGTGATATTAATATTGTTAATAGGATTAACATATTTTTTAAACATTGTTACTATTATTACTCAAAGAATTATTATTTAATTAATTTTCAATTATCCGGTTTCGAGAGAACAGCAATAACAATAATGATGACAATAGAATCATTATTCATTTTATATGTCATGATTTAATCTTTTCATCAAAATAAATGTATGTAATGATGGATGAATCATCTCATAATAATAATAATAATAATAATAACGATGATGGTATGATAATAAGGATAACGGTGGTGGTGACGAATGATTATTAATATTTTTTGATATTAATACAGATTGACAAAGTCATGCGTACAGTTGATCGGTTTGTTTTGATTTTAATCTCGGATTAAAAAAAAATAAAAATATTTATTCGTGAATGAATAAACAAATAGAATCAATGGTTCTGTTCTTTTTAATTAGTCAATTAGCCCGTGTTTAATAATCATTCGGAAACAATAACAAATAAATAATATTATGAAGATCTATCCATATTATTCATGAACTTTATTTTTTTTTTACGCGTAATTTGTATTATGAGATCACATGTTGGTGAGAAAAAATTACTGCCTTTTTCTAATTCGTAATAATAATAGAAACGGGAATGTCTCTTTTCATTGTAATGGATAATAGTTTTCCAAAAATAAAAATCATATGACCCGTTCATTTGGAATTTCAATATTAATATATTTAGATGTTTTTCAAGACAACAATAATAATAATTTTTACAAAAAAAAAAAGGGTAAATGAGACGACTAAAAAGGAATAGAACTCAACAACCAATAATAAACACATTAATAAATCCCCTTTCTGTCACGGTAAAGTTCGAGCCCCAATCTTAAAAGGTAGGACAGAAAGTGACATCTATTATTTCAAATATCGCACATGTGTAAATTGGTGGTTTAAGAGGTCCTGCGCCATATTATTTGAGGCAAGCGGTTTCATGGGTTTTAAAGCATTATCAATCTGATTTGATTGTGATATTAACAGTTTATAATTGTCTTTATTTTTTAGGTACCTAATATTTTGGTAGATGAGGTGGTAGAATTCCCTTTTGAAAGTGATTCTCCTGTTTTGCAAGAACGAACTCAAAGAATCGTTGAACCAGAATATCTTCAACTTAAACAACAGAGATGTTGATGAAATGAACAAGCCGAAGAAAATGGATCTTAGAGAGAAGAAATTCAAGCTTGTCTACCACCAGGTGGAAATGAATTAAAATACATTCATTCTTCTTAGAATTATTTATTACCAAGTCAAACATGGGTGTTTGGGTGCAAAATTGAGAATTACACGGAGTTCACCAATTTGAAGTTTTGTGAAAATTATGATCAAATGATGGTGAGTTCAAAGATGATACAATGTTCCATCTAATTGTCGAACTACGCATTCATTCTTCAACAACTTAAAATGTCAAGCATGTATATATTTTGATATATATATAATATATTATATATATCAAAAATTATAAATGTACGATGGGTCTATTCCCTCGAACGGAAAATCCCGGTTTATCTATCACACGTAATGTCTGTTACCGAAGGTAAAAGGTAACACATGGTATTATAGTATAAATGCTATTTCTTATTGTAGTTATGATTGAATTAAAAATAAACCAAATAGAGGTGACAATGCCTAAAGGACAAAATAACCATTGGGTAATTTAACTATTGAATTTAAATTCCAACCAAATGTTGGGAAATCAAATCATGATGACCTTTTAGATTTTTTCATTGCAAACAATTGCTCCTGTTGATGACGTAATTCGTGTAATTAAAGACGAAATTTAAACTTTTCTGGATTCTTCAAGGATGTCTTGCATATTTACGTATTTACAGAGTGTGTGTTCAAAGAATTTCTGGTTTAAATTCTTCGTGAAAAATAAAGTAGATGTAATATAAAAAACTTTGCACAATCACATTCACTTTTTGCTGGATTTGTTAAAAAAAATGGGCAAGACATACACAACATTGGGAAATTTACCAGGTAAGGGTTATTTTATATTACGACATTAATAAAAAAATCACTTGAAAAAGAGAGAGAGAAAGACAGTAGTTTTTTTTTTTTTTGCAAAGTTTTGTGTTTTTTTTTTTTTTTTATATTATTTTTGAATTTTTTAAAAAAAATATATAAAAAAGTTGGAAAAAAGGAAATATGTATTAATATATGTATATTATTAAAGGAGGAGAAGAGATAAAAAAATACATTAAAAGTCCATTATTTATGTATAAAATAAAAAAATAAATCTATTTACAAATAAAGATAAAGATAAATAAATAAAAATAAAAAATAAAATAAAAATAAAATAAAAATATAAAAATATAAATTTTTTTTCATTAAAAATTTCAAATTTTAATATTTTTTTTTGAAATTTTTTTTGATTGTTTTTGATTTTTTTTTCAATTTTATAAATTTTTCTTCTAAAATAAAATATAATAAAATATATATATAAAATATATAAAAAAAAAAAAGATTAAAATCAAATTGTCGTTGAAAAAACACGCAAGATAGAGCCGCGTTGTTGATTGATTGATTGATTGATTGATTGATTGATTGATTGATTGATTGATTGATCTTGATCTGAGGACAAATTTTAGTTTGATGATCTGAATTGAATTCTTTGAATCGCGTTAAATGAATATATTATATATATTGTTGTTTTTCATCGTTGAATTATTGTATGTTGTTGTCGAAAAATTCTGTCAGAATTATAAATTTCATTATAATTCAATTTTTTCGTAAAGGTTTTATTTTTTGATAAAAACACGTAAAAACTAAATAAAATAATCTCATTAAAAGGTAATACATTAAAATGATGTTGTTGTTGGTGACAAACAAAAGTAAATTAACATGGAAAGAATTACTATTATTTGATAAATTACGACGAAATTTATAAATAATAATAATAAAGGTGGAATAGGAGAGACAAAAATCAAATTGTTAAGGTAGGTAGGTTTTGATTGATTGAGTAAAAAGATGTAGTGTATATGTATATATATAGTTGGTTGAGGTGTGTAGTTTCTGAGTCCAAACGAAAAAGTCTATTGAAAAATTGTGTGATAATTGTTAAAAAAATTAACGGATCAATCTAACAAAGTTGGATTAATTAAATTAATAATAATAAAAAACTAAAACCAAAAAAATTAATTATTCGTCAAAAAAAGGAAATAAAAAAAAAAATTAAAAAGCATAATTGGATTTTTGTTTTTAAAAAAAAAAAAAAATCACAAAAAAAAAATTCAAATTTCATAAAAAAAAAAAATAATTGAATTTTAGTTTTTGCTACTATTAATTAACTAACGAACTGGTTGATTGATTGGATTGAGTGTTGATTGATTGAGTTGAGTCGAGGAAAAAATAAGGAAAAAGGATGTCTTTTTTATTTTGTGTTGTGCTCTTTATATTATCTTCAATTTTTTTTTGTTGACTAATATATAATAATATTACGTTTGTGTGTGTATACTCTCTCTTGTACAAATTATTTTTTCCATTATATTTGTTCTCGAAAAAATTATATATTTGTTGTATATATATATATTTTTTTTTTCGTAGTAGACTCAGAAACTACACACACTCACAAAAATAAAAATGACGAGGAAAAGAAATTGATCATTAATAAATTGATTCTTCATTGCGAAAAAAGTTTTTTTCTAAAAAAACGAAATTTTAATTAGAAAAAATTAAAAAAAAAAATAACGTTAATTAATTAAATTAAATTAATAATTAATTAATTAATTTATAAAAAAAAAACGACGAATTTTTTTTTGAGGAATATTATTATTTCATTATTATATAATAAAATTTTTATTAAATTATAATCCCAAAGAAATATGTATATTTTTTCCAGGAAAATTCCCAAAACTCAATCTTTATATATCTGTTTTCTCACAATAAAATAATTATATAATATATCTTGTGTAACACAAATATGATAATATAATGAATATAGTTGATAAATATTTATACAATTAATTTCATCTTAATCTTTTATCTTTTTACAATATAAAATATAAATAAATGAATAACACCTTACACAAAAGCCCGTAAACAACGAACCTACTTAGACTGCTGCTGTAACAACAACAAACAACAACATTATTCGTTACGCTAAAATAAAGCAAGCAGTTAGTAGCCCACACACACACTCCTTACATCAAGAATAGATGAGAAGGAATTAACCTTATTTAATTCGTCGTATATGTCCTAACCCCAACTAACTAATATAGTATGTCAAATACTGTCAAAATTTAAAGTAGCATCAATTTTATTTTTATTATAAAATAGTTAAAATGGTTACCAGTGCACTTAAACTGTCAAAAAGACAATCAATTCCATTATTTGTATGTGCGTGTGTGTGTATAACACTTCAGATTATAATCTATCTTTTCACACACACTCCTCTCCCTACAAACAATACTTAACATTGTTCTTCTATAAATTTTCGCTATTCTTGTCCCTCTCTCCACACACATATACACACATATATGGACATATAGACAAAATGAATAAATAAGTAAATGTGTTTATTCACTCATTACTCAGAAATCTGTCATGTGTGGATGTGTGGAGTAAATAATTTTTATTTTCTCATTAAAGAAAAGATTGGCGTTTGTGTAATTTAATAATATACAAGTTTGTGTGGGGTAATTTTACACCTGTAATATCACCCAACCCACTATTAATTTTTTATCTCTGAAATCACACAGGTAACACTAGTATCACGCTAAAAACATGTATAAACATGTATGATAATTAGTTTTTTGTTTGTCACACTAATTAAATTTTTATTTCACTCTCACATTCATGAAACATGAAAAATGAAATGAAGTAACTGTTTTCATATTATCTTTTTATCAATAAATTAATCTTCATCACTAACTTAAATCACACAAAACTTTAAAATCACCTATCATGAAGCCATTAACGTCATATATGTTATCATGATTCCGCCTGACCTAATTAATCCCAAGTGGAAAGTTCTTCAAAACAAATTCCTTTTTCATATCCCAAAAAACTCGTCATCAAAATTTTGTAAATTATACTTTTCTCTGATGTATTATATATCATCATCACCATCAATCTTACTCTATCAAACAAATTTTATAACCAATATTAGTTTGATTAAAAAGATGTTGCACCGACAAAATGTCACCTCAAACGAAATCTGTTTTCTTGTTTGTTGTTGTTTTGGTTTAATAAAAAAACAAATAGAGTAAATAACTCGTTGGCTAATAATAATAAACGCGCTCGGGTCATGTACATTATGTGTAATTTTGTAATTTTAACATTTTCCCATCCCTTTTTTTCGATTATTTACCTGTTATTTTTGTTATTTTTTATTCTATATATACCTTCAACCATTAGTTCATACCTGTTGTTGACTTTATTGTACTTCTATTCTCCAATCAATTCTTCTTTTGCTCGTTCATTCCTCATTCTTCATCCAACTCTCTGTCAATCATCATCACATCATCATCACATCAACAACAATAACAACAACCAAGCCCCAATGACTTTCATTTAGTTCAATTCAATTCACAAAATCGCTCCTCTTCGATGATTCCATCTCTCCAGTCAATCTTTCATCATCAAAAAAGTATATATGACTTTCAAAAATTGATTTTATTTGATTTTTTAACGCCCATATAACAGAATATATATAAATTGATTGTGATGATAATAAAAATATCACCACCAATAATAATTTATCATTTTTTTTTATTATTGTTACATGTATATATAATATGCACACTATTCCACAAATGTAAATATTCTCCACAATTTTTTTTTTAAAAAAAAACCAAAAATAATATCATTGTTACACAAAAAACAACTTTAATCATTCATTCTCTCTCACACAATAAAAATTTTAACAAGAAAACATCTAAAAAATTCACATGTTTTTTGTTTTATTTAATTTCACAAAAATTAAATTAAATTTATTCTTTCTTTCTTCTTTAATTCGACTAAAATCATCTGAAAAAATTTGAAGTTGGTTTTTTTTCCAATTATTATTTCATTCATTAGAACCCATAAATTTAACAGTTAATAATTGGTTATCCTCATTTAAACCCATTCAACTCTTAAAAGAATAAAAAAAAAAAGATTATAAAAACGCCTAAACTTTTCGAATTCATTAATTCATTGTGCGTGATATAAAGATATGGTTCAATTGGTCGACCATCCTTAAATATGTATATGCATACATAAATAAATAAATTCATTATTTCAGGGGAACCAGTTTTGTTTATTTGTTGTTTATTATGTTGTGCCATTTTCTACTTTGTTCTATTTATTTAATTGAGTAATTTGTCATGATGATGATTTAGATATCTCTCTTCGTTCTTCCCGACTCTCTCCTCCTTTTTTGTTTCATTCAATTCTAATTTAGTGAATGATTAATTTCACTCTAGCTTCTTACATATTTCTGCCTGGTTGATCTATTATTATTATTATTATTATTATTGTTATTAGAAATCTCTTTCACAGATTACTTTTTTTGTCAAATATTCTGTCAAATTTGGTTTATCAACTAATTACTTGGTAAATTATTTTCATGTTTTTGTTGTTAATCTCTCGCATCTTACCTATACCAAATATTCTTTCTTGAATCCATCCATCTGAAACAAAACGCCATTATTTGTTGGCATCACAACCGTACTACTACCAACATACGATATTATCAAGGCTTTATAATCTATATAGTTTCTACTTAATGGTATACGAATTTGCAAATCCACTATGGAGTCTAAGAAATTACAGCAGTGGAAAAAATACACCTTATAGTTATGCATTTAAAGATTGAAGAGAAAAAATCTAGTCTAGTAGTGTGTTCATGTACTAACCAAATTTGGAAATTACATCAGATCTTTTGTATGCCAAAAAATATATAGCACCAAGAAAGGATCAATTACTAATTATTTTCCATTAATATGGAATCCCAGTGCTATTGTATATATTAATATAAATATAAATATAAAATTCTCAGTCCAGAAAGATCCGTCATAGAGAACTGTATTTAATAATAATATATAATATTTTTATAATGAATAAATCATTATTATTAATGAACCAAGTATCAACAGATTGTTGAATTTTTATTTCAAATCAAAATTACTCCTCTTTGAGAATAGTATGAGTGGCTAGTTAAAGCTTGCTTCGACAAATTGTAGAATGTAATTTATACATCCAACCCAAATTGATTTGCTTGCTGTCAAAAAAGTCAATGTCACTCACCATATGTGTAACATCGAATTATGATGCGTGACAATCTTATGTAAACTAACGCTTACAAAATTCCCCAGTACTGATACCAATACTGACACATTCCATTCATACTGTTCCCTCAGTCTTCCCATTTGACCACTTGATTTTTGGATTCATTTTTACATAGATAACAGTTCTTTTCATGTTCTCCAAAAAAAAATATCATGCGTTTCAAACATTATTATGCAGTGATAATATTTTCCATCAAGATTAGAATAAAGGGGACCGATCACTAGGGCGTAATACAATCAATGTAAAATATGCCCAAATACTTTGAATATGACAGAACTACTCGAATTATTGAACCACTTTCCCTTCATCAATTCATTTTTCATACACTGTTGCCTTGTGTACTTTCTCCAAATATATATATATATGAAGAAAAATATTTTTTTAATATGTGTCAGAAAAACCACTTTCAATATAATTGCAGAGCAGGCACAATCCCAGTGAATCTCGGTTTAACGGACAATTTCCCAAAAACCGTTATATCGGAAGGTTTTTATTATCCGTTAAATCGAGGCCTACTAAACCGAGATTCACTGTGTAGTCAACATTTCTAAGATCCAAAAAAAAAAGAATGGATCCAATTGATCCAGACAAACATATGAAAACGGTAAAAAAGATTATCTTTAACCCTTTTGGAAATTTACAATTGTCATAGAACAATTGTAACTTTGGCCAATGGTAAACTGGTCACCAAAATTTTGAGCCCTGCATTTTCCTGTGTCTCCATCATTACAGCATACTAATACTCCATGTAATGTATGCAAACTGTTTTTGTTGTATTGTTATATCTTTATTGTTATTACCGCTTATTATTCGAAGATGGAATTGGATGGAATTGTAATAATAAGATAGACAAATTTATCATTATTTAAATTTAATTAACATTTGAAAAAATAACAACAATGTAATGAAAAACAATAGGAAAATTCTCAATGGATGAATAAATAAGTGGATTTATGAATGTAAATGTAAAGATGTGATATGATGTGAGAGATATGATTTGATTTGGTTCCGTTAATATTAATTTTTTGGAATACAACAATGATCAAATCTCAATGAATATATATATATTAATAATTAATTAATTTTTTGCTATTGGTTTTTGTAAATCTTTATTACATCAGCTCTCGGTCGCATGTATTATACCATTATATCAGCAAATTTATGGACAAAAATGTTATATGACAAATCAAAAAATATACTGTGTTATTATTATTTTAGGTTCAAATATTTTTAAATATGTCAAAGCTTTAAATTGACAGGTAAGAGGTAGGTATACAATTTATTATTGGATGACAAAAAAATAATAATGGCTTTTTTTTCTTTAGCCACCTATATAAACGTTCATTAAAATATCAAAAAAAATCTATTTATAAATGTTTATATAAAAAAAAAAAATAAAATAAATAACATTATTTAAATTTAATTTTAAATTTAAATAATTATTTAGTATTCATCCACAATTTCTTTTTGTTGGAATTAACTTCGTCTTGTATAGTAACAGTTGAAGCTAACACAAATTCCAACCAATATTTTGATCCATCGTCATCATTTTTATCATCTCCATCGCCATTAACATCACTATTATCATAATTTTCATAAAAATACCCATCGCCATTTTTCATATTATTCATACTTTTAGCTATATTACCAATATTAATTGCATTATAAATTAGATTGGAATCCCTTGGTGTTTCGTCGTATGGGAATGAGCATTCTTGTGGTGATGATGATGAGTATTCGGAAATGTAGCCAGTTGTATTTGAGTCGCGAATTGAGGTGAATCCAGATGGATATTGTATAGTAATAGGTGTAAATGGTGTTGTTGGAGTAGTCAGGCCATTAATATTATTGTTGTTGTTGTTGTTGCTATTATTATTATTATTATTATTATTATTAGATAACGATTTGGATAGCGGATTATTGTTGTTATTGTTAGCAGCAATTATCTTGTTCTTATTACTATTGAATCGATCAAAAGCAAATTTAGGATCCCAACCATTTGGCGGCTTAACCATAAACGCCACATCAAATTCATTTCCACATGCAGTTTTACGAAATTCCACTAAAGCAATTTTTGGGTTATTCTTTGCAAATAAAACCCATTTCGATCCATTCGTACTTTTCAACCATATATATTGTTGTATGCATGTATTATCGAATGGTACCTCGACGTCTGCTGAATATCCACTTGGTTTACTGTTATCCTTTTTTTTACTGGGTTTTTTATCTTTAGTTTTTTTATATTTAAAATGTACTGAAGAATTGGTTTTAGCACACGTTATGACGAATGATTTTGGTCGTTTAACTTTACGAAATATTTTTGAATGCTTTAATTTATCCAATTGATCGATTGACCAAATTGTTGTTGGTACTGATGAATTTTCTTGTTCATAATCATACTTTTCAGAATTATTATTATTAGTTGACTGTTGCACTGATTTTAAAGCTGAATTGTACCAATATAACTTATATTTTGGATGTGGTCGAAGAACTTCTCTGCAGTAAGATGGTTTACAATCTTTTAAATCTGAACTAGTCTTCACTTTTGTTATATCATAAAATAATTGAATATGTGATTTATCCTTATTATCGATCATAATATTTTCAACATCTTCGCCATCAGTAACACCGTGTATTTTTATTAACTTGATACGTGGAATGAAATGAAAGGAGTGAAGAAAAAATGGAGAAGAAGGATATTAGTTTCTTTTTTCTTTTTTTGAAAAGAGAATGAATAATTACCTTGAATTTTGCAAAGCAATTTTCTTTTAAGACGTTATTAACAGTAGCGTTAGCATTAGCTTTGTTATCGTCATCGTTATTGTTGTTGTTATTGTTACTATTGTCGTCGTTGTTGTTGTTATTGTTTTTGTTGTTGTTTTTGTTGTTATTGTAGTTGGTGTCTCCCATTTTGAAAAAAATTTTTATTAAAAAAAAAGAAAATTTAAAAAAAATGATATTCCCTATTTAGATTATTAAAATGAGAGATACTACTATACACGCCGGAATTTGTATCCGTCCAATTTAGCTATTTTTTATTGTAAATCATTATTTAAGAAACACAACGACAATATTGGGAAATTTTAGAAATTAAAAAAGAACCAATTCAAGGTGATGTAATGAAAATAACAACAAAGAAAATTACGCACACACACACACATCCAACAATGCAGCGCTTTAACCAAATTTGGCATTCCTATTTTAACATTTAGAATAAACCCGTTGTCGATCAAACAAACACAAATGTGTGAAATATGGTCTAGGTCATCTAAAAGACATCAAAAAATTTGGCACAAAATGATCTTTCCTATTTAGTAAAAAGATTGTTTAACCACGTGACCAGAACAAGTTACAAAAGAAAATCATCATTTTTCTTGTAAGCAACCAGCAAACAATACATTACTAACAGATTTACATTCTTCCAAATTAAGAAAATGCCAAGATGAAATAAGCAAGCCGCACATTTGGAAAAAGCTAGAAATGTTAAAAAACCAAATCAGATAACGAATTGAATAAAAATTTAGAATATGCATCAAATGATTATACGAATTATTTGAATTATTTGTTTGTTCGTTTATTTGAATTATTAATTCCAATCCGGAAAACAATTTTTATTATTATTATTGTGTTAAATAAAAATTAAATATTATATAATTTGTAGATTATATCAAATCAAATCAAATCTTAATGTAATCAGATTAAAAAGTTTTTAATTTGTGAGGGCGCCTATTGTTAATAGTGTAATTAATTATTATTGAAATCAAATGGTTGAAATTAAGATAAAATGATTAATTAAATCTACTATGTATTTATCTACAATGAAGGGATATGTGGTAGTTTATCAATTGCTTCCTCTAACAAAGTCATCATACCCATTACCATATGAGGTGTAATATGACAATGTGCAGCCCAAACTCCAGGATTATCAGCTACAAACCTAACCAATCTCCATCCACACCCGTCGCCGAGTTTTGTTCCATTGGTTAATATACCAGGATAAACTAATGTGGTATCTCTTGCCACAGGATACTCTGCAACATTTTTTATATTTAATCCATTTGGAAATGTGCCAGGTCCAAAAGCAATATCCCAGAATTTATGTCCATGTAAATGCCATGGATGATAATCACATCCTCCTGATAAACCGATTGTATTCTGAAACACCAAATCAATAACCTCGCCATCTCTGATCGGATAAGTCTTACGATTTTTATCATATCCAGTAGTACTATTCAGAGCATTCCAATCAACATCTCTCGATCTCGCACCGCTAATCAAATCCAATAGTACGGGTGATTTGAAATCTTTGAATACATTGTTGTTAACGCTCCATCTTATTATTCTTGTACCTGATTGAACGTTTGTTGTTGTTAGATCTTGATTTGTTGACAGAATCAATGTACGATCGGATTTCTTTGGCATTGGTTCACTGTCTGTCAACATTTCAAATTTTATCGGCGGAGGATATGGTACTGGCAACGTTGGAACATTCAATGGTTTTGGAGAAGGTGGCAGCGGCGGCGAGATCACATATCTTAGAGTTGCTCTTGGATCTCTCTTACTAGTTGTTGTATCGTTACGTAATCTGATTTCACTCAAAATATTATAATCACCAGGCGTTTGATCTGTAGTAATTAATACCGAGTATCTTTCTCCTGGAGATACTTGTAATGAGTCAACTGTCACTGGCTTCACATATGATCCATCAACCTCTATATATTAATAGATAGATAAGAATAATCGTGGTTAATTATAAAATTAATTATATTATATTATAATTTCTATAATTTTCTCTTTGCCTACCAATAATTGTCATTTTATGATTATAAATTCCTAATAGAAAATAAAAAGAAATGTATATTAACAAAAAATTTATTAAAAACATTAACACTACAACTACAAAAACTCATGCTACCACCCATACATTATAACGTACCAAAAACTATAGCCTCGAGTGTAGTTGCAGCAATAATCCTAAGACGATAAGTTTTCTTTGGTTCAACTAGAAACACCGTGTCACCTAAAAAATTGCCATTTATCAACAGGTCAGATGGTGGACCAACCCAAGTAAAATTTTTTGGATCCATTAATCCTTTTGCCAATGTTTCATCACTTTGAGCCCATAAATCGGAAAACATTATTATAAAGGGTTCCTCTTTTTTTTTTATTGTTGCTGGTGTATTATTATTATTGGAGGTGGTGGTGTTTGCGATTGTAGTAATAGTTAATTGATGGTCTTCAAAACTACCATAAATTTTTGGTGGTTTATCTTTCACAATGAATGCACCATGTCCTGTTATCGTAGATAATGCCCAATGCGAATGATAACTAAAGACACGTGGATGAAATTAATGCTGTTGATTATTTATTTATAAACTAACACCCATTAATTAATATTCACTGAATTACTTACAAGTAAGTTCCTATTTGTTTGTCAACTTTGAATTCATATAAATAAGTTTCTCCAGGTAACGTAGGCCACTGATTAACGAATGGGACACCATCTGCTAATCCATTATCAATTTTATTTCCATGCTCATCAACTGTGTGATCATAATTACGTTGTAAAATACCATGAAAATGTAAAGTAATTGCATCAATTTCATCATTACTGATGCTTCCTTTTCTTCTACTATTATTTCTTTTTATTTTATTAAGTTTATTTCTTATTCTCATTCTAATCAAGTCTCCCGAATAACAAATTATTGTTGGCAGTGGATGTTGACCATTACCGTGGATTGCTAATCGACTAGGATCGGTTTTTAATGGCTCATAAGTGATGGTTAAATCATATTCTCTCGTAACCGAATAAGTCGATGGTAATTGAATTAATAATATTAACAATAACAATAGTATTGATGCTATTGTTATCTTATCGTTGTTGTAATTGGAATGATTATTAGTAGAGAAGGCGAAGAAATTTAACATTTTTGATTTTTTTTTTTATTAGAGGAAATTTATACTGACCTTTTCTAATCTTTTATCGCATTATATATACTTTTCGCTTATTACTATTCATTCATTATTTCATTATCAAACATAGATAAATTTCATTTATAGAAAAAACTCAATTTATCAAATCTAACTAATTTCCATATTAATTTTTTGAATATTTTGATAACCAATTTAATCATAGTGTTGTGTTTATTAATAAAAAAAAATCATGGAAAAGTCAGTGCATATTATTCATATAATAATAAAGACATTTTAATAAAAATTCGTTCAATTATTTTAAAATGAAATATTTTTACTTAAATGCTGCCACACAAATTGAATCACTTTTTCAAAAAAAATATTACAAATTTAGTATTAGCAATTAAACATTTTTAAAATGAAAAAACTTTCGTTTAAAGGGTAGGCTCCATGTGTGATATTGTTACAATTAATATATTAATATGTTAATATTTTTTCGAAAAATTTATATGAGCGGATTTTTGGCATTAACATCATAAGGTCTAAAGAAAAATGATCTACTTTCTGTTCCCTGTTTGGGTTGGTCTCTAAAATTTAGGGGGTAATAAGAATCTGCGCATATGAAAATAAAAAATATTGTTACTTAAATAAATGTAAAAATAGAAAACTTTAATTTTTTGCTTCCAAAAAACTTGAATAAAACGATAAATAAATTTTTTAAATACAACATTTTTAGAACAACTTACTAAGCCTGTACCTCCATATTTATGTATGAAAAATCAAGATGATTCAAGAAAACATTAATGCACTCATCACAATAGATATTTTAGAGTTAGCCACTAACAGAAAGTAATTTAACAAAATAAATTGATAGATGATGAATTTAAACAATAAAGCAGTACAATGAAATAATATAATTGATAATGAACAAATTAATCCTGAAAAAATAGTAATTGCTCGCATTGTATCAATGCAGTTAAAAATTATACAAGTTCTAACAAATTTAAGTCTGAAGAATATAATATTGAAAAAAAACCCCATTTCAAGATTTGCAATGAAAATGTGGAATAAAATTAGAATCAATACAATAACAATTGTTGGTGCAATCAATGAAATAGGAAAATAGAATTGGTTTCTAAACCAGTAATTTTTTCAATTAAGAGAAACAAACATTCATTTAGAAAAAAATTCATCATTTATAAAAGACATTTTTCATTTTAATGATGATTATATTTCTAATAAATTTGATATACAAAATTTGAGTGATGAAGATGATTATGATGAAGTAATAACTCCATTGATTAATCAATGGAATTATAAGATCAATAATGATTTATTATTTTTAATTTTGGAAGAAAACAAAAACTATACAATTAATTTTCCCACTTTAAACATAAATGTAAAAGTGATAAAATATGATACAGTTAACCAACTAGTATTAAACCCTTTATATAACCCTTCATTACAAAAATACTTTAAAAGTACATGGTGGAATACTATATTATTTTGGTCTGATATAATTCCTTCTGTAAAAAGCCATACAAGACATACTACAGCTACAGTTGAAGTTGAGAATAACATTGTGAAAAATATGGACATAAAAAAAGAAATTTACCAATAGATCAATATATCACTATTCGAGTTGAATCAATTAAATCAACTCAAAGCCTAATTGCAGAGAAATTATTAAATACACAAAAAAGGTAATTGAGAAATTATTGCATATTATTTTATTTATTTACTTATTTATTTTACTGCTATTTTTAGTGATAGAAGAAGAAATGAGGTATCTACAAATGGTGATCCAAGTGAACAGTGGGAAAAAAGAAAAAAGAAACAACTCACAAAAGCAGAAAAGGTTCTTCTTGAAAGATTCAAATCTGTAGTGGATTGTCATAGAAGAATTGTAGCAATAAGTCAAAAACAAATTGCTCAAGAAATTTGTATGGAATCTGAAGTCAAAATTGGCCTCAACCAATCCAATGGTATCAAAAATGTATACTGGTATAGATGTACCAAAATGTAATAATACAATTGATGCTATTAATTCATGGATTGAAAAAAAAAGAAAATAACTTATAAAAATTTATTTGTATTCTACTATATTTATTTATTTATTTTTTATGGTGTGCTTTTATTACAATAAAATAATTATTTGGAGGTTAATAATGCCAAATAATTTTATGTTTGGATTTTTTATACTGCAGTGTCTGAAGTTGAGAAATGTTATATAAATAACTTTATTTTTATTTTAGTGGATCGGATATTCTTGTGGGAAAAATATTAGTGGATGATCTGCGAGTGGATATTTTTAGTGGAAAACTACACGATTATAGAATCTGCGCATATGAAAATAAAAAAAAATTAAAAATATAATAAATATAATTCATTTTCTTAGGTAAACGAGTACCATTGATAAAATAGAAAATGGAAAAGTTCAAATCTAAAGGTAAAAAATATTGTTACTTAAATGTCATCAGATTATTTAGTTTGATAAAATGTATAGCTTTATTAAATGTAAAAATAGAAAACTTTTTAATTTTTTGCTTCCAAAAACTTGAATTAAAACATAAAACAAATTTCACGATAAATAAATTTTTTAAATACAACATTTTTAGAACAACTTACTAAGCATGTACCTCCATATTTATGTATGAAAAATCAAGACGATTCAAGAAAACATTAATGCACTCATTACAATAGATATTTTAGAGTTGGCCACTAACAGAAAGTAATTTAACGAAATAAATTGATAGAATTTAAACAATAAAGCAGTAGTACAATGAAATAATATAATTGATAATGAACAAATTAATCCTGAAAAAATAGTAATTGTTTGGCGTTATTCACATTGCATCAATGCAGTTAAAAATTATACAGATCTAAAAATTTAAGTCTGAAGAACATAAATTTGCA